TTATCCCAATCCATACACACATCAATTGTGTAAAGCGTATTTGTACATCATTTCTCAAAACATTTTCTCTCCATTTAAACCCCCGACATTAGGTTCGGTGGGACCTTTTGTTTAGCAGTTGAACACTTATTTCTCCACCAGGGTTTCCCAGGGTCAAACCCACTAAGACTGAAGTAGTTGATGAGGAAGAGAAGATTCACGTGTCTGAACAACTCCCTTCCACCTCTGCTAGGTTTCTGCTCGAGGGGATGGAGAGCCATTACTGTCTGCATCAACAGTGGAAGAAAAGTGCCCAGAGAGCAGAGAAGCTGCTGCGGAAGGGCAGAGAGAATTTTTTTTGGATAAATAAGTCACATACATTTGTAAGAAACATTACAAGAACTCATGTATCCCTTACCAGTGTCCTCTATTGGTGACATCTTGTAAAACTTTAATATCACCATTAAGATATTTCCATTGACACCCTCCACTGATCTTACTCAGATTTCCCCAGTCTTACTTGTTTCTCTGGCTGTGTTCATTTCATACAACTTTATCACATATGGACACGTGATCAGGGTGCACCTGTCCCTGGAGAAGGACATCATTGTTGGTGGAGGATCAGCAAAAGAGACGACGACTCACTATAAGATGAACTGACCCAGAGGCTGCAGCAATGGGCTCCACCATAACAAGTGTGGGGATGGCCCAGGGCCATGCAGTGGTTGGTTCTGTCGTACACAGGGTCACTATGAGTTGTACTTGATGCCACCTAACAATGGGGCATATCTGCCACCACTGCCAAGATCGAGATCAGCACCATCACTAGGCTCTTTCATGCTACTCATAAAAACCACACCCACCCCTTGCATACAACGCCCCACTCCCAATTCTGAAGCCCTGGCAACGCCAGTCTTGGTCTTTGTTTCCAAAATGTTGTCGTTTGACATAGTGTCTCTTTAAACATTTAATTACACACATTTCTTTACTGCCTGTACTTTTCAGAGTGCTTTTGCATTCTCATAATTCTGCAAAGGTGAAGGACTCCCTGCTGTCAGGTCAGGAAACATTTGAGGATGTGAAATGATTTGGTAAAGTTCATGTGTTAGTCCGGGTAGACTATAGAAACAAATTCATAGACACTTGTGTATAAGAAAGAGCTTTCTATGTAAACGTAATTGTATATTAAGAAAACATCCCAGCCCAGTCCAGTCAAGCCCATAAGTCCAATATTAGCCCATATGTCTGATACCAGTCTTATCAATTCCTCTTCAGACTCACACAGCACATGCAGTGATGCTGAATGCAAGATCACAGGCCAGTGGGCGGAAAGTCTTGTGGATCCAGTGGCAATGGAAGCATCTCAGCACTGGTGTGGGTCTCCAGGTGGCTCCTCCAGCTCCAGGACTCTAGCATAGTTCCATGTGTCTTGTCAACAGGAATGTCTCACAAGCAGGGAGTGTCTGAGTATCCCACCTCCAGCGAGCCATTTATCTCCTTAGCACCTCCAAATGAGGTCATCAAGCTGCAACCTGATTGACTCTACCCCTTCACTCTTACTAGTCTCAAGTTGATACTAGATTATGTAACTACCACAATTCACATATTCAGGAGTAGAACTGTATCTGACGAGACCCAAGCCTGATGTTCAGTCCTTGACCATTTCTACCTGGATGTACTTCCTTTTCATCTGGGAAAACTTCGATTTTAGACTCTGGAGACCTTGCTAGAATGAGCAAACAGCTAAGGACATTATGGTTTTTACCACTGGAAACAAAAGGTGAACATCCAGAGGTGGAAGGATAGGTGAGGGAACAGGACCCATCAGCATTTCAGGTCACTTGCTTCCATGCTGGGAGGGTCTCTGACCTCATCACCTGGGACACACTCACCTGTGAACTGTTTGCAGCTCTCAGAGCCCCAGCTAGCTTTACTCGGGCCCAGAGAGAGCAGAAGAATGAAGATCAGGGAGCAGTTCTGACCTCGATTGTTGTGTCTTACAGGCAGAGAGTAGCTTCTATCCTCAGCATTTTCATTAGCACAGCGTTTTCATTAAAATCTCCATTAACTTGTTTGCAGCAACGAGATGGAATTATCCCTCCCACCAGGCCTGGGGCGAGATGCTGGCAGAGCAGCTGCTTTTCCTTTGGACATGGAAGCATGGCCTCCCTGAGCAGTGGCTTCACTGGATGGAGGAGGGGATGACTGCAGCGGAGGACACCATCAGAGGGGTGACTGACCCCAAATGACCGCCCATACCAGCTCTGTGCCTTGTTTCAGCAAGCATTTTAAGAAAAATATCCTGGCGGTTACAACAAAAATATTTGTGTTATGAGCCCCCAATAAAATGACTTTAAAAAACACACAAAAAACCAGCTTACATGTACCAATATACCTCCCTGGCTAAAATGATGCTGATTTAATTCTGAACAACTTTTAATGTGCTGCAGTCAGAGTGGTCATTATTACCCAATTGCAATGACGCTTTGAATCAAGTGGTTTGAGAGAAAAAGTTGGCACATGGTGGAAATGCAAGGCTGTTAAATTTGCGGGTGTTTTAGCGATACTATAGGGTTGCTATGCGGCAGAATCGACTAGATTGCAGTGAGTGAGCATTGTGGTAATTAGTGTTTGGGAATTTAAATCAGTAACTTCTTTGAGAAGGAAGTAGTAATTAAAGGAAAAGAATAATAGAAAAAGAGTTCTGCTCAGTTACTATGCTGTAACTCATACTGTAATTCAATGTAGGAAGGTCTTACAAAACAATTTTGTTAGTATATATGCATAGATGTTAGTTCACATATTACATTTTTCATGTACTAAAGCCATTTATAACTACCATATACACACGAGTATAAGCTGAGTTTTCCAGCACATTTTTCATGCAGTTTTTGTGGTAAAATTAGGTGTCTCTGCTGATATTCCGGTTGGCTTATACTGGAGTATATATGGTATATCACATTATTCTATGATTCAAATGGGTAATAAACATCACCAATGATTCTGCATGATCTGGTACAGGAGGAGGTCCAGGGCAGGGGGGGGGGTGACACTTTGAGTTACCACCTTGGTGCTATCACTGTCCCTGCTGATCATGCCCAGTCTAGTGGGCAGGTGAGGGCAACCTCAAAATGCAGCAGAGCTGAGCCCTCGCTATAAAGGGATCTTCTTGTTCTTTAGCACTGTTTGAAAAGAAGGGAACAACTGTGCTTCGAGTCTCAGGACCTAGGGCTAGTGGACAGAAGTGAGGGAGGGTTAATCCCAACTCATTTGCTATCAGGAGGCCAATACCTAATAGCCTACCGGTTGAACTAAGTGGTCATTTAATGTTTCTCTCTTTGACCTTCCCTCCTCCCCACCCCCACTTCCAGGCTCAGGTTTCCCTTCTTTGGGAACTATTAGACTCTTAGAGGGATAAAATATTGGAGCAAGAAGAGAGCTGTGAGTTTCAGTCCAATCTCCTTA